CTGTCCCACTGGTGGATCTATTTTTTATACAATTTAATCGAATTTACTATTTTACACCATTTATCATTTACACCATTTATTGTCCGAAACCTCGCATCACCAAAGCTCGCACACTCAATACAACCTCACACGACCCACAGTATTTTTTTCAACATTTATTACCCACAAACCACGATGCTACCATTCTTTGTCTCCTTTCAATATAATACAACTTTATATATTCGCACAGAGCTCCACTTACACCGTGTCTCTCTTTTTTCATCGATACAAACAACTACAACCTCAAGCTCCAAATTAATTCACACCATTTGATGCAAAATTCAAACTTTGTGCAGTCATATCGAGGCAGCCACAAGATGTGATGTATTTATGTCATTTTTTAATAAATTGATAGCATGCAAGAGATGAAGTCGTGCCGCTTGGATGAGGTATGTGCCAAATACTCTCATGCTGTACAACACATCTCTAGCGATATATGTTGCCTGTGCCAACGAAATGGAGTGTTTCACGGGGTCTATATTTTATTCGCAACTATTTTCTTTGAAAAAAACGTGATAGATCGGCTGTTTAGTCCAAGATGAAGAATATCGAGAATCCTCTCAAAACTGATACTTTCGTGTTATCGCAAAATTTCGCTGGCTCATCTCTGGAAACATACGTTGTTGGTGCCAACGAAACGCAGCTTCCTGTGCTCGGTTGACATTCGAGTCGAAACGATGAAAAAGACTTTTGATTGTGCTCGGTTGGCATGAAATGGTAAAAAAATACGTGAAAAATATTCCCGACAGCTGTGAGATTTTGAACTCACGCGGGTAACCCCAATAGATTTCGAGTCTATCGCCTTAACCGCTCGGCCAAGCTGTCCCACTGGTGGATCTATTTTTTATACAATTTAATCGAATTTACTATTTTACACCATTTATCATTTACACCATTTATTGTCCGAAACCTCGCATCACCAAAGCTCGCACACTCAATACAACCTCACACGACCCACAGTATTTTTTTCAACATTTATTACCCACAAACCACGATGCTACCATTCTTTGTCTCCTTTCAATATAATACAACTTTATATATTCGCACAGAGCTCCACTTACACCGTGTCTCTCTTTTTTCATCGATACAAACAACTACAACCTCAAGCTCCAAATTAATTCACACCATTTGATGCAAAATTCAAACTTTGTGCAGTCATATCGAGGCAGCCACAAGATGTGATGTATTTATGTCATTTTTTAATAAATTGATAGCATGCAAGAGATGAAGTCGTGCCGCTTGGATGAGGTATGTGCCAAATACTCTCATGCTGTACAACACATCTCTAGCGATATATGTTGCCTGTGCCAA